AGCGAGCACACGAATCGCACTTAATTAGTTCAACGTCGGGGAGCTCGCAAGACGGGGTGGCGTAGCAACGTGGATATTTTTTTGATTCATCGACTTCTGTCGTTACGAAAGCCCACGTTGCACGCTACGCAATATCCTCCGCGAGAACTGGCAGCGGCTTTTAATTTAATATAGGATTATTATGTCGCAAACTTTCGTAATATATTATATTTAAACGACACGAGGATTCGAGGATTCGAGGATTCGATCGCGCGCTAGATCCGCCGACTCGAACGATAATCCTACGTAATCGTTCGGTTCGCACGAATGTAGCGTATACGTTCTAATTTCATGGAATGCGCTTTCTATCCAACAAACGACGATATCAGGTGGCGAACGTATCGCGAAAGTTGCCTCCTTCCCTAGTAACGCAAAATTCTTAAATCGACGCAAGTTTTCCGCCCTTAACTCTATAAAAACGAAATTATCTCTAACCTCCTGTCGACGATGACGACCTGATCATTTTCCTTGTGATGATGATGATGATGATGATGATGATGATGATGATGATGATGATGATGCGTATGTTGTCATTGCTGCTGCTGCCGCCGCTGCTGCTGTTGTTCATCGTCGATGGAATTTTGTGAGGATTCTACTTCTTCCAACTGCATATTTTCTTCTCTCTCCTGTTGCGATGTAAGATGGTTAGCATCACCGCCGATTTGTACTGTAAAAAAAAATTAAACAAACCTTATTAGTCTGATAACATTATAATATATTAAGTCAGAAACTTATACTACTATTTGTAACATTACTGCAATGCAAGATAACTCACCTACAGCTGTTTACATAATCGGGCGTAGGAGGATAATGTTTTTCTTTTATGTAATTTTAATATTCCGGCGACATGGGCAGAACGGGGGAGTACGAAATATTTGATAAAAATATCAGCTTAAGTATTTCGAGCAACAAATAAATTTAAAATAAAAAATAAAAAGATTACTACCTTTATTTTCAAGAGGCGCGTAATATCTGTTTTCTTCTTCTTCCTTTGTTGCCTCCTGAGTTATTTCCTCCTCCTCTCCATCATCGCCGTTGTCACCGCCATTGCTATTTTCTATATTCGCGTTGTCCTGCTCTTCGTTATCTGCAGTATTATCATCGGCATCATCATCATCATCATCATTATCATTATCATTATCATTATCATCATCATCGATTGAATGATTCTCATTATCCTCCTGTTCAGACTCTTCTTTCTGTATTAATTCCTTTTGTTCGATTTTCTGCGCTAAAAAGTAATTTTTATTATTATTTTTTTTTTTGAACTCTGTATATAGTTAACTCACTATATTCAACTAATTTATTTTTTTAAAGAACTTACACGTTATGGAAATTGTGGAACTTGGAGAGACCAGTGCTCGAATTGAATCGGACGGACTCAAACCATCATTCCTATCATTGTTGTTGTTGTTGTCATCATCATTATCATTATCATCTAAAATAAAATTGATTTTATTCTTTATCGCATTACATCTATATTATACAAACTAGATTTCTCGGTTATCTGCAAAATACCTGCCAATTACGATGACAGGAACGTCACGCGGAGGCGGAACATTATTTTCCGCTTCATTTCGTGCTCTTCCTAGAAAAAACTAAAATTTTTTAACATTCGAGATTTCTATAATTGTTTAGTTAATATTTATTTCCCCAAAACTTACTCGCTGGTACTCCCTCCTCTTCTTCTCTCGCGGGGCGACTTCTCCTTAAACTAAGTCGCCCTACTGGATCAATCCCTGCGATGCAGTATCGCACGTTCTACAATACAGCACTTCTATGAAATAAATATTATAATTTAATTATAAAGTCAGCTTTTAGTCCTAATATATATTAGATTTTATTTTAGAAATTATTACTGCTTACCTCTTAGTCAATGCGTCACTTGAAATCAGCTATGTGACCTCCAGCGTCATCCTCCTCGTGACCAAAACACTCGCGTATTCCAAGATGACGAGTGATTATATTTTTCAATGTTACGTCACCACAGCAATGTCCCAGTTTGTGCATAACGCACACTAATGTACTGGAACACTCGCCAACAAAATTTCCGAAAATGGAATAATTTTTTTCATTATTATCTGACAACTTGTCTGATAACCGCTTGCAATTAATTTTTTATTTAAATTGCTAGCAACGATGAAAAATTTGCTTAGTAACTCGCGAAGTTTTTTAAACGAAATTAAAAGCACGCAAATAGTCGGTGTAAAATCCGCTTCAGAGTTTGAACGTAGGATTAAACTTTAGCTCAGGACGCACTATTTATGCCCGTAGCGATATTCATAAAATTCCTCTCCCCGAAAAGATTCGCTAAAAGTTCCTAGTGCCTTCATTGGCCGATAGATTTTTGACGATTTTGGTAATCAGCCGCCTCCTTTACTAGAAGTGATTTTCTCATAAATCATAAATGATATTTCTCATAAATTTAGAGAAGCGGGAGACGACAAAAATTTCTAAGTTATGATTCCTATACCGAATCTCTCTCTCTAACATCGTTTCTGTTCTATACAAATTATCTCGAAAAGCATCGCTCTCTTCGCATTTACCCTAATAAAATCTTTAACTCTTATTTTCATTATTATCCAGAAAAGTTTTGCCACACTATACAATTTTTATTGTTACGGCGAATCTCGCGTTTTAAATTTTTCCTTCTGCTTTTTGTATCTTCTTATTTGAAAGGATTCTCACGTAGTATTAGTCTGAAATTATATTAGATTGATAAACATGAAACTTTTCAATAAAAAAATACAATTTTAATGGAAATTTCTATATCTCGCTTGACCGACAATATCACTTAGTTTTTGTTAGTTTTCTCTTCTTCAGGGCCTCGTCATGAGGAAAAATCATAGCGAACATTGAACATAATTAGTTTCGTTTAAAACTTTTCTCACGTTTATCAATATAACTAATATTTTAATTTTTGTATCCTATAAATTTCTGCATACTACATGTTATTTTTTCCCACGAGAGTATACACAAAAGTTTCAGAGAGAGAAAAGAGGAAGACGAATAAATTTCCTACATTACTATTACCCCAATAAGATTGCAAAGAATGAACGAAGGAATCTTCAAATCTGTTGTAAAATTGAGCGGACATAACACAGACGGAATTTATTTCGACACCCACTGCTGGCAACAGTTTCAAGATCACATCGAACTCATGAACAAGTATTTAAGCAGCGATAACAGAGTGAAACCTAACTTTGTTGTTATAAAAAATATCACCATCAGCTTTACTATATCGTACTAGCGCGCGCGCGCGCGTGTGTGTGTGTGTAAATAAGAACCAACCGCTATAATTTACACTAAATATTATAGTGCCGCGTCTAAACCGTTCCTACAAAGGCCTTAGAAGCCGGGCCTACCGAGAAGCGCGGAGACTCTTGAACGAGGAGTTCAGAAAATATCTCGGAGGTTCGCGAGAACAGAGTCGCCTGGCCGAGGACCACTTGCCACCATCATCACCCTCGTCACTACCGGCTCCACCAGCTAATCAGTTAGAGGTTATACCTCCCCCTCAATCATCTTCACCCCCTCAACCACCTTCACCTTCCTCGTGAACTCGTTTCCCCCTCGATCTCCGTCACCCGCGTTTTTGGACGCACTGACGGAGAGAATCTTTCCAGATACTCCCCACTATCACCCGATTCGTCGGTCGATCCTATCCCTATTTCCCCCAGAGGAATTCCGTCTCCGACGAATTCTACGGACAGCGTGGAGTTCTTAGAGGAAATTCCTCCGCATGAAGGAATGAGGGACAACACGCCTAATACAATAAATAGGGATAGGATCGACCGACGAATCGGGTGATAGTGGGAAGTATCTGGAAAGATTCTCTCGGTCAGTGCGTCCGCAATGAGGGGGAACAGTGGTGGGATTTGGTATTTGCGGCAATGAGCTTTCGAGTTCCTAACGCCTAATAATATAATAATAATAATTATTATTATTATTCTTCTCGCTCTCTCGTAATTCACTTTTGAAAACCCCTAATAAAATCTCGTAATCATTAAATCTTGCCTTTTCAGAACTCGCACGTGGTCCGAGTTAAAGAGATTTCCCTGACTCGAAATTCGGACCGACAATCGCACCGCTCATAGGAAACAGGTGTTATAGCGTTTACTAGACGTTGACCCATATTCCGAAGCGAGCAATAAAAAGGATGCGTTTGACTCGCGGTATTTGCTTCTGTGCGGATACCTGCGAGACAAGAGTCTGACCGTCCTTCCACACTCAATCCTTTTTACTCCCTTCTCTCTTTAAATTTATTTTCCTGAATTTGGACGTAACATTAGAATATATCCACAATTATAAATGTTTCTCTTATAATTAGCAACATTATATGTTTTTTTTCTCTCTTCTCTTTCCTTTTTTTTTGCTTTATCTTCGAAATCATGCGCGATGCATATTAAATGCATCACGCATGACTTAAAGAGAGAAGTGTTACATCCCGATAAAATTCTCTCTTTCCTTATTATAAATATACGATTTATACCTTACCTTTATCTTATCTCCAGTTTAGTATTTCGTCTTGGTTTTGATATTTTGTCCCTATTTTATCTTTATTTTAAAACTTTATCATACCTTTTATATATTGTAAAATTCTTTTCCCTTTTATAGCAGGGCATATTTAGTTCCTTTATTTAAACATTCAAACAGATAACTCATGCGTCACATAAATAAAGAATATCTATTCTACAATTTTCCCTTTTCTTTTAAAGGTTCCTTTTTCTAAAATAATAACTAAACAATAGCATGTATGCCTAATAATTAAGTAGTATTATATGTTAAGTAGCATTATATATTAAATAATAGTATATATTAAGAGCTTCCCGAATGCGAGGATGAATATTTTTATTTTTCTTTTTTTCTTTCCTTTTTTCATTTTCTCCATAAAATTAAAACGAATTTAAAATTTGGAATATATCATTACTTCGCCTTGCATAAGGATGTTAATTAAGTAAAACCGAATTTTTATTATAAATTATTAAAACTCTTAACTATTATCTTAAGATTAATCTTGTAGAGCTGGGAGTAGGAGGAGCCTTGCTGCCTTATTTTAAGGAAACAAGCGCGAGGTTCTATCAAACCTTGAGGAACAGTGATTGATTCTAAAGAAATACTCTCACATTCATTTCCAAAATATAAAAGAAACTGCCAAAAGCAGGAACGAACAGAAAGAAAGAGCAAAAATAGAACTTATCCGACATAATTAGAAATCAAAGTGAGAACCATCCTCGCGCTTCGTCAGTAACTTACTTGTTATTTATTTCTTTTTTTTTCCTTATTTTGTCTTATTTATTAAATCAGAATACTAAATTGAATCGGCTGAATCTCTGCTCTGCATCTTATTAAACTACATATATACGTGAGTATCCGAGGAGGCTGTTGTGATTGTCAAAAATTTTATTACAAAACGTTTTAAATGTTACATTGTAAAATGTACTTAAATGTAAAAAAATAAGCTCGTGTATATGCAACGCACTAAAATCAAAATGCCGAGACTTTTTTTAAACGAGCAATTATAGTTAACTCATAAAATTTGTTAAAATAAAATTCGTGGAAGTGAGCGTATGTGTGTGTATGTGTGTGATGTATGTATGTATGTGTGTATGATTTCAGCGATTTTTATCTTTTATGTCTTATTCTGGTTTGTTACTGGTAGACTTTGTAACAATAATTTTGTTGACGTCTAACTATTTGCAAGCTACAATTGTCTATTGTATTTATATTTATATTAATTCTCTCTCTTTCTCTCTCTCTCTCTCTCTCTCTCTCTCTCGTCTATTGTATCAAACTATATGTCTATTACTCTGTTAACATGTAGTCTATTTCATATATCATTGCAATAAACTTAATTAAATTAAATTAAATTAAAATAAAAATCTTGCATCAAAAACATTTATAAATCTTGCAACCAAAACAATTATTTAATAAAAAACAAAATCAACATAAATTTTTATTTAATTATGTAGGTATATGCATAATTTATTAATAAATGCTTATAACTTTTTAGTTTTTAATATATATTTTTATATGTTTTTAAAATTAAATATTGTATTATTAAAACTAGAGAAAAATTTTGGATAAAAAAATATTCGAAATTAAAGTTTAAATTGCACAAAACTATTATCTTATATTTCCTACAAATTAAAAAAATATCATAAATTTTATATTAAAAATAGTAGAGAAGTAGTGCTTGAAAATTATTCATTATTTTCATTTAACACGCATTTCTTGTTAACCCAAATTATATTAATATTCTAGAGTTTTTTAATAGCGTATGTACAGATGAAAACGGATAAAAAATATTAATAGTTTTAAACAATTAAAGGGATCCTGGAATCGAATATTTTAACAACAAAAATTCGATTAGATCTATTCATAAGATGTACTTTATATTGATTTCACAGAATAATGTGTTAAATTTATTTTCCATTAAAATTGAAGAATAAATTGCTAACTATATTGCAAGCAATTTGTTAATTTAAATGTTTCAATTTAAATATAAGTTAAAATAATAAATAAACATCTTTCAGAAATATATTGTCTTTTTACAACAAACATGTAGCGAGCATGGACATGGATTTTATACACCATAATTCCGAGCTTTGATTAAGTATTTTAATTTTTCATTAAGTATTATATTAATCAAAGATAAATTTATAAAATTTTGATAGATAATTTATTATGCATCTTACATTTATTAAATCAAAGTCGAAATACATTAAAGCCAATGTAAATAGAAAAAAATACATTTTTTTTGTAACATACAAATTTATAAACATATTGATTTTATTTCTCTTTTTATCTAAATATTAATAGATGTTAATATTCGCTGCTATTATTTTCAAAGTATAAATAAACACATTATAATATTAAATAATATATAATTTCTATAGTAATTTCTATAGAAATATATTTAAACTATACATTTCCTGTTGTTTATTTATGTTCCGAATATGTATGAAAATAATCTTTTATTAATTTATGTGTTAAGATGTAAGAGAGGAAATTTTGTAGACCATACGATGTCATATTTGACAATATTTTTTATCTTAAAATGCTAATATGTAGATTAATACGTTTCATAAGTACAATGATTTTCGCACAAAAATTAACGCATCAAGTTATTTATAATTCTGAAGAACAAAAATAATAATTAATATACATGTATAAAAGAGTGCCAATTAAACAAGAATATTAACAAAAAACACGTATATAGAGTATCTAAAAAATTGCCTGTAATACTTCGGGAAGTGATTTGGGTTCCAAAAAAAGTAAAAAAAGCTATATATAAACATAAGTCCGAAAATAATTTGTTTCCGAATTATAACTACGTTTACGTTAAAAAAAATTGTAATTGATTTTTAATAATTACAATAATAACTTATTTCACACTGTTTCAACTACATTTTTGACTTTTTTTGAGTTACTCAGGATACATCACGTGGAGGTATACGAGTAGTCCGCTTGCTATGTCTCTAGTAAAATAAAAACAATAAATAAAAAATAAAAGAAATTAAAAAATATGGTATGAAGGCGAAACAGAAATGTTTCCGCGTAATACATTTTGGATAACGCCAAAATTGTCCAAAATGTAGTCATTTATGTTTAAACACAATGAAATAAATTACGATTGTGATTATAAAAAATAAATTACAACTTTCTTAACGTAAAAGTGGTTATAACTCGAAAACGACTATATTTCCGTATTGACCATTATATAGTTTTTTTCTTTTTTCTTAAGTCGAATCACTTTTTGTAGTATTGCGGCCAATTTCCGGACACGTGTATAAAATAAAGAATAACTCTAAATATGCATTATAATGCATGCATAAGTAAACTGCATTATTCTAATACTCAAATAAACCATACGTTTCTAATTGGCTTAGATTTGTTTTTAAAGTACAATTAATTACTGAAAACATAATTATTCGTCGATAAACGTTGTTTTTTAGTTTTATGATTCTATTTACCTTTAATTGGCTACATTATATTTACACTTTAATTATTAATATTGTTAAACATAATAATATACTCGACACGTTTATATTTACATACTAAATTTTTTTTAATTACCGTATGTACATCGCATGTCATTTTTTCGAGAAAAAATCGTAGCATCCAATTTACATTCTTTGCGATACATACATTATTTAGTCTTTTAAATATGATAATGGTATAATAATATTATTTAAATCATATTTTGCAAATTAAATAACTTTTTACAGTTCGTAAAAGTTGTTAATAAAATATGATTTATGTAAAATATAATATACATTATTATATTTATAAAAAACCTATTATTTAATTTGTATGACCTTATTACGATAAACACTCATCAGAGATGTTTTACTCTTTGATCTTCCAGCCAAATATGAATGCTACTTGTCTGCGTAATGCTTTTGTAGTCAAATGGGAATCCGCCACAGTAATATTTATTCAACATCTGAATCTATAAAAATGGTAAAATGTAAAATGAGTATCTGAGCACAATTGGTTTTGTCAAAAAGTTTAATTATAATAATAATCTAGAGAAATCGTATTTTAAAAACTAAAATCATTGCTTAGATTAAAAAATTGTTTATCTTTGGGCACACTGAAAAGTTTCAATGCGTACAGTGCTATATCCAGCAATTTTAATACAACGACACTTTCTTTTAGTCTTATAATACGCGTTAAAATAATTTAAAAATTTTTCTATCATCATGTAACTTTTTCTGTATGACAGAAATTTGAAAATTAAAAAAATTTGATAATTTTAATAAAAAAAGTTTTTACTTTTTACATCTGTGGGCTAATGGAAAAAAGTTACATAAACGATACTTTTGATACAATCAAAATTTGCACTCTTCCTTAAATTATTTCAAAAAATCAATATAAAAAATTCTTTATTTTAAAGATTATTAAATTTCGACTGTTGAAAGATGGCAAAAAATCCTTTGAAAAAGGATGCCTTGTATCGGCAGCGGCTATGAATTCTTTTCGTATTTAACACTTATCTATATCATCTGTAATCTTGTTTTTGCAAATATTTATTATTTATATAGCATTTGATAAGTTATTACAAAAATTGCAACACAGTAAAACATTTTCTGGATAATTTTCTATATAATTTTTTTTATTAACAAGTTTTATGTGATCAGGAGAAGTTAGACTTATTATAAATTGTACAATAAGATTGATCGATTTACGTGATATAAACAAAGCGATCAATTACCAGAATCTAATTTCATTTGTTTTGATAGTGGTTCATCAGTCAAAAGACTTTGCGTAGTAGTGCTTTGCATTTCGCCGGACACTGATGCCTCTGATACACTCTCACCGCCGCTCGAATACCGTTGTCCAGGCCTGTATTCCACAATTGAAGAACTTTGCGTTGTAGCGCTTCGTATTTCGCAAGAATCTGATGTCCCTGGTATCTCTGGTACATCCTCATTCGGAATGCTCTGTCCAGACCTGTATTAACATATCATTAAATTAAAAAAATAAAAAATGTAATGTATTATTTAAAAAAACAGAAAAATATCATGAAATACATAATAATTTAAATTCAAAATATACATTCTGTTGAGTTATAGAATTAAAATTTGCATTTTTTATATTCAATATTGTGATATTATCGATTCGTTAATATTTATATTTGTAATTTATTTATGTTTTACATTGATCTTTAAAATGGAATATTGAAATATAATGCTGTAGAAACTAAATCACATAATGTAATATGCAAATGTTGACAAATATGCTGCTAAGGTATTTGATCAGAAATAGAAAGTACGGTATTTAGAACAATTTGAATTGAACAAAGAATTTAATTCTTTGCCATTTTGCGATTTCCATACTAATTAATAAGAAATTAATTAATTAAGATAAATGATTGGCCATTCATTAGGTATTATTCAGAAAGTAAACGTATTGCACATTATACATGAATGTTAAAGTAAATGCGCCAGTATTTCGTTACATATGAAGTAGTCGCAATCGTCGCGATACGTTTATCAGCGATCTCTTCTTTGCGCTTACGTACATTTATTATTGAATCTATCATCACAAATTTTGTATACAATATATAAGCAAAAAATATTGTATTTACAATACTTTTTGCTTATATTCTGCGTACAAAAAATATGATAATGACGATATTATGTAAAAAATTTTTTTAATTTGAAAAAATTAAAAAAAATGTTAATATTTTGTGATTCATTAATTTGTAAATCACGCAAAACATAATTTAAAATTGATAACATTTCTTGTAACATAATATAAATTATATTTTTAATGGAAGTTAATATTTAATTTTCATATGTTATTTAATATAAGAAAAGTGAATAATTACTTAACTGTGTACTTAATTAATCTCATACCTTTCTTCTTGATGTAATATCTGCGTTGCAGCTTCTCGCCTTTTTTCCCTTAAATTATCCAATATTTTTTGTAGATTTTCTCTTCGAATTTTTTTATATTGAGTCTTATATAAATCGCTATTAAAAAAATGTTTCGAGATAAATATTAAAATTAGAAATAAGACGATTTATTTGATAAATCGATTAAGCACGAAGTAACTATTCTCAATTATGATCAAAATTAAATGTTAAACCAAAACACATAAAGAAAGGGTCCCATTTATCTACAAAACGATTATCTATAGTTTCACATATACATGTACGTATTTCAAATGAAATAATTTTAAAAATAATAAAAAGTTACATTTTTCTCAAGAAGTTCTTTACAGGTTTTAAGATGCTAGTGGCATGAAATTAAAGTTTATAATTAAATTTGGGGGGTTATTATAATATTTCACATTGATTATGTGTTGAAAAGCCGAAAGTATAGTAATTGTCGCGCAGTCATTTCTAAGATGATTTTATTTAAAGTACATACGTATGCATGTGTCTAATTTTGACCGTAATTGGCGTTTCTCCATGTTTAATTGTGTTTATATTATTATTTGTAAAATGTTTATCATAAGATGTATTTTGATGGAACAAAATCGAAGTCAGGCCAACGTCGTCATTACTTTCGGATTATTATAAATTTATAGAAATAAAACAAGTAAAACGTAATTATCTTTTGCCCGTTTTGATATGTCCAAAAATATTTGTTTAATACCTATGCTTATCCAACGAGTGTTCGTGAATAGCATACAAATTTTCGAGTGACAATTGAGTGTCTTCTTCCAAATTTTTTGAATATTGACACTCAGGGCAGGTTGCTAGGTTTCCATCCGTTATTTCGTATTTTAGAAATATATTATGTATAGTTAGATTATTTTTTACTTCATTGTATATCTTATTGTTCGGCCCGTGATGTATTTCCCAATGGTTTCGTATGCGGTATAACTTATCATTAAATAATGTAGTTTGATGTCCACATTTATTTATTTGACATATTACAATAAGAACTTCACGTTGTCTTATAATTTTAGAATTGTATCGTTGCAGTAATGTATTAAGATCTTCTGAAGCAACTACCGATTCTATAGTTCTTAAAGTCTCTTCCATCATGACATCTTGATCAATCCTTTGCCTTTTTTCGTTCACATTTAGATCTATTTTTTCTTCTTCTTCTAGTTCAGTTTGTATGGATGCTTCGTCTAAGATTGGCATTTCAACTTTTAGTATTTTTGGAACATATCTGTGGAATCCATAATATTATTAAATGTAATTCATTAATTTTTGTTTTATATCAGTTACGTTCCGTGTCAATTTTAGATTACTTGTCTACAATAATTTGTTGATTACCAGTGACTGCAATTGGCACGGAATTATATATCAATAAATATATGTAAATTATATATGAATATTATAACGGTCCATTACCAAAGAATTAATTTATTATTTATGGCAGAAACATAAAACTCTACATTTTTTTATTAATTGTAATTCAATTTATCTGGGACTTTATTTTTATTATCAATTCTGTACATGTACAATAATCATCTGACACGCACGCACAAAAAATTGTATTTAATTAAAATTTATTATATTCGTAAACTAATTGATTTCTAATATTTTTCATATTTCAATCTAATTTATAAAAGTTATTACAAAACATCTTAAATGTTACATGGTAAAATGTACTTAACATATAATCGTACGTATGACAAAATAATGTACATATAAGGTTACAAAAACTGTACTAAACACTTGTTTTCTTATGTAGGATATATACATATCAGGAGCATTTATATAACATTAATTTAAATAACATCAATTTCATGAAAATATATGCTCAATTTCAATTCTATTCGTAAAATCATTTCTGTTTTTCAAATTAAGAACGAAATTGTAGAAACAAAATAACCAGAATGTTTAAAATTAATTTTTTATGCTTTTGGATGTGATAAATATGACGAATATATTTTACATACTCAACATGTGGGATCAAGTGTCTGCTTAAGACCGCGAGTACTCTAGCAGTGTGCGAGTCCAAACCTTTCAAGGGTAACGACGTTTGACAAAATGAGCACTCCGCAATTTCGGTATCCTTTATTTCGTAATTATTTAGTATTTTTTGTCCAGAAACAATTCCTACTGCTTTGGCAAAAAAATTTTTGTTGTCATCTGGGTGATGTGTTATCAAATGGTTCTTAAATTGTAATGCTTTGCCAAATTTACTTTTAATTGTCACGCCACAATTTAACTGAAGACATTTCCCAACATCAAATTTATAACGATATTGGCGAGAAAGGTCAAAACGTGTTGCTACGGATTTATATTTTGGGTCTTCCATTATTTCTGATTTATCATGCTTTTCGTATAAATGAAGTATCATTCTAACATGATCGATGATAAAATCAGGTTTTGATTCTTGTCTACAGCATTCACATTTGAATAACTGATTCTTTTGCGCGTCTAACCCACATTCTTTGTAAAACTGCACTATATCTTCTGGTCGCTGTTGAGCCATTTTCGTTAACACCGTTCACTATCATGGATTGCTCACGACTAACTGCTTATTACTTGGAGAAATGTTTACTATTTCATAATCGGTCATAGCTGAAAAGTCGAAGAAAAATACACGTCTCCTTGTCAGGAAATGTAAATACTGATAACTTTAGTTAGTTTGTATATATTAAATATACCATTTGACTGACAAATTGTGTAGTTTTAAATCTCAATAAATATTTAATAGAATTCTAAAATCTTGAATTATTCAAACACACAGAGGAAGAAAGAATATTGTTATATTGAAAATGTTTTTATTTTTTAAATATAAATTTTAAAATAAGATATATAGCGTTAAATTAACGTAACTTGCTTACATGAAGAAATTTTATTTAAACCAAGGAGAATATATTCTCGTTATTCAATAGTAATAATTATCATTTAAGAGAGAGGAAATACCACGTAGAAGATAATAATATCTCGAAATTGAAAATCAGAATTTCTTTAATTAGATATTAGATTTTTGTTTTATTGTACCGTTTCTTTGAAACAAGCTGTTCGTATTTGTAAATTGTTTTATTAAAATTAAGCGTCCGTATCATACGGGTCTCAATATAAAATGTACGCGCTATACGTAAGAAATAAACGTCCAGCCTGTATTGTTTATTTCGTTTATATGTCGTCGTTATGTGTTCATAAGATAATTGCGCTGATATTTTATATAGTAAAAAAGCTGCGCAACTGTCTTTATAAACACTCAACAACTGCATAACAAGTTACATATATTGTACAATAAGCCATTACTATAGCTTTAATAAGTCTTGAGGCATAAGAAATTGATCAATTATAGTTCAATATAAAAAGAATTTTTTTTATATACGCATGCACACAAAAATATGTTCTCCTTATAACTGTTGTTTTTATAAAAATTCGAAATTATATGTACTCGTATATTATAAACGAATTGATTAAAGTAGCGAGTAAAGCAAAGCTTATAATAAATCTTACAAGACTTAATAGATTATCATACCTATTAAATTTAATTATTTGTTTAATAGATTATGTTTTATTAAATACTCAATTTTCATTCTTTAGAGTGAGATTCCATTCTGAATAAAAGAATTTAAAGAATAGACATTTGTAAAATAATAGGCGGTTTTATCGAATGTTTTTTAAACTGTCAATTTTTTTGCGTTTTTGTTACATGCTCACCGATTATAACAAAATCTTGTAATGTTGTAATTAATGAGAAGACAAAACTTTGAATATTAACGTGTGACATTAGACGATTTATGAACTATATTTTTATGATGACATTGATGACGCATATATATATATATAAATATAAAAGAATATATATATATTCTTCAAAATGCAATGTATTCTTTGCTTGAAACAATTAATTTACACAAAAATTTTAGAATATGTGTGCACAACAGCAGTTAATAAAAAGAGCTCATGTATGCGCACTCAACGCGCAATGCCAAACGATTTTTAATTAATGTATGTTAATGCGATGTTCAATTAATAAACCATTAATTGTAATTGTAAGAATAGCTTAAACGATGTCAAATGGTTTACGAAACAGAAAATATGCGATGATAATTAAATGAAAATAATCTATAGAAAGAAGCATTTTAATATTACATATAGTGTTACATTTTCAAACGAAATGTTAGCGTTAATGATATGTGAAGTTTGTTTTCTGTGGCTGAACTAGCGTATGCTTTTGGAATTTAAAATGGAATAAATATATATTTGACATTTGGCAAAAGTGAGAAAGAGAATTATAGTACTGTTTAGTGTAGAACACTAAAAACAATGTTATATTTTAGTCACCGCGCAGCATTATTCATTACACAACAATTAATGTATTCCATACATATATTGTAGCGTCTGCAGTTTTTTTCTAGCATGATACTTTCGTACGACGTATTCATCAAAATATAATAACCGAAACGAGAAATAGGACGTTTATTTGGCTACTGCGTCATTTCTTGCGTAACGTGTTGATGCGTCCTGTATGTGACAGGGAAGTGTCCCGTATAAATAAAGCAAATAAATGGGCGAGTAATTTAAAATCGAAGAATGGATGATTTGAAATTTCGAATTAATTTATATAAATTAATTAGTTTCTAATTTCTCAAATTCAGAAAAAAAGAACAAAGCAAATCTAGTCAAATTTAATTGAAATTTGAACAAATACACACATCAGTTCATTAAACATTGAAATGCTAATTAAAAAGGAACTTACTGTAGTATTATAAAATTGAAGAATAAAATTGAATATTAAAAGAATATATAAATCTAAAGAAGCTACCTAAAATAAAAGACTATTCTTTATAGTAAGGTATACGATTACCGCAATGACAGATTAATATAATTTTAAGCATATGACTTTCGCTAAAAACATCTAGTGCTGTGGCTGTATGCTGCCTATTATTTATATTTTTTTTAACGTTTTTGTACAGGTATCTGTGTTTCTATTTCTCTTCGCGGATAAATTCATAAATCCTGCCTGCAAAATAAACAGTGCAGCAATATATATGACGGAATATCATACGTAACTTGAGCAGTTTACAAAAAAAGAAATTTTTTTTGTTCTAATTTATTAATGTATTTTTGAAAAATTGATTAGTTTAAAAGTTTAATTTAGAAGGAGATGTCTCATTTAGATGAAGAATAAAGTATGGTTTTTTTTTTATCGTTGTGCACACTTATAATGCAAGCAATAGTAGACTTATAAAAAAAATTAAGAAAAAAAGAAAAGATACGAATTTGTTACTGCCTTAAATGTAGTTTTTAAATATGTATACTTAAATAAAAAGGTATGACAATATACTCTGGTAAAAAAGTTTGCCATTTTCCTAGGATTTTTCTAATTATTGTCTAATATTACTGTACTTATTACTCAGTTGTGTTTATAATGAGTAGGAAGTGGACATAAACGTGCTAGAATTTTTTTCTATCCATTTTATAGAAAATTGGCTTGCTTATTAATCTATTATTTGTTGCGTTTCTATTCAGTAAATTGATTCAGATTTTAAGCAACTTCTGTATACAGTAACTGCAATCGTAAACGTTACATTTTGATTGGGATCGTAAGTAGGTTCTCTTCTTAGTTACTAGACAGAAGTTGGTACAACCGGTTAGTAACTGTTCAAAAAATGCATGAAATTTCTACCAGGGTAATATCTACTGAGTGGATATTGGAAAATTACAAGTAAGTAATGCGAAATGATATATAAATACAATTCTACATTCCTAAAAATTAGGCATATCAAATTTTCTTTAATTGATTTTCGTAATTTTTGATTGTACTGTAAGGGATAGGTCTTCTCGTCCTCGTCGATCTTCCGCAATCGTTGCAGTTCTGTTTACCACGTCCTGAAAAATATCATAGCATTTTAGTCATGATTATGTACAAAACTTCAAATTTGCGAAGAGAGTTCGATCTTGTTAATTTTAAGATCTCCTCATATTCATTGCGGTTTTTGAGAGCTTCGGTAAATGATTACCAACAGATGTGGATCAGGCAAGCCAACAATCTGCCTCTGCTATTGCTGTCTTGACGAGAACTGTACTCCTGCTGTACTTTCTGCTG